TGGCTGCACAGTAGGACCATTTCCATCCATCACGAGTGTCTCCTCCTCATCTCCACAGTCTCACCTGGAAGACAGAGCAGACAGTGGGTGTGGGAACCTCCACGGGGCCCAGCAGCCACAGGCCCGATGACGGAGCTGCTGACCTGGGAGACACCCAAGACCAGGGGTGGAGCCACCGGTGGCTCTGGGCCGGGACACCCCTGAAGTCAGCAATGACCCTCGGCTGTGGAGACTAGGCTGAGGGCCCCTCACGGAGTGCCCGCCTGCCCAGGGCACGGAAGAAACAGACCAGGAGAGAACTCCCGACCTCCAGGTGGGGGCTGCCCTCCAGGTGACCCTTGCTTGGGAGTGTTTCACCTGGGGCCTGCGGCTCAGCACCCAGTGGCAGGCTGGTCCTCACAGAGGTGGCCCAGCCCCTGACTCACAGCGCCGGCCAGCCAGCTCTGCATGAGAGAGAGAGCCCTGCCCCTGGGGGCCGCCCAGCTCCCCACATCCTGCTGCTGGCCCTTCCTCTTCCAGCCCAGCTCCAGGCTCAGGAGGGCCCCGATGACCCTCGAGGGGTATGTAGGGTTGCTCCCCCCCCTTACCCCCCCGCCCCCGGGTGCAAAGGTCCTAGAGACACAGTCCAGAGAGACTGGCCCAGAAGCCAGCGTGGCGCAGCCTCGCAGCACAGCACCCTAGGGGGCAGGCTCATCGCTCCGCCTCCCACAAGCGAAACCCAGGCGTCACAGCCCTTAGTTTCCATAAAACTTACTAATATGCTGAACATACAGCTGGCTGTGTGCACCAGCTAAGATGTTCTATTTAAAGCACGCACATCCCTGCTCTGGCAGAGAGATTCCCAGCAGAGCACACGTAGCAGGAAGGCACTGCCGACAGCAGGGCGCTGTCCCCATGTAAACCCTGGACTCCGGCCCCGAGGACACAGGCAGTGCGGAGCCACCGGCCGCTCTCAGGGTGTCTATGGTGACAGTGTGACTTCCCCAGAGGTCGTGCCAGCCAGAAAGACTCCTCTGGCCACACTGGGCTTTCCGGAGGCTGGGGCTGCCGCCGAGGGGAGAGGAACCAAAGGTCCTTCATAAATGCGATGACAAGGGTGCTACTGGGGACCTCCCAATGACCAGAGAGGCAAGTCTTGCAGGGGATGCAGGATCGGGGGTGTGAAACGAACAGATGCCATGCACACCCTGCGATGCTCTGCTTGCGGTGGGGCACGGGGCAGGGTCTGCCCCCAGCGCTCGGCAGGCAGGCTGTGCCTCCACCCGGTCTTGCCCTCACTCCAGCCTCCCCAACAGGGCTGTTCCCCAGGCTTCAAGGTGAGACTGGCCCAAGTACACGTACCCCGAATGGAACGGACCCTAACTTCTCAGTTCTAAAACACTCATCGGATAGGGAGCACAGGAAGAAAATTCTTGAAGCACCTACTATGTGCCAGGCACTCTGCCAGTGGCTTTACAGATGCTATTTCAAGGTAACACAGAGGCCTGACCCTGCAACCGGGTGAGGCTGAGAGGTCACACACGTGGCCAAAGCCACACAGGGGCTGCGGGTATAATTGCTGTGGGAACGGTGCTGCCTAACTGCACGGCCTACAGAGCCGGGAGCAGATGCCCGGCAGCTGCAGCCCGCACGGAAGGTCTGCCATGTTCTCTCTAAAAAGGCACCTCGATGTCTGGCAGACTTCTGCTTGGGCCAAGCCTTCGCCCACCCCTCGGCCCGCCCTCAGCCTCAGCTCTGTGGCCCAAGGCTGTCCTGTGCCCTGCACCCAGCCTGGCTGGGCACCCTCCTCTCACACAGACCTGCAGGCCCAGCCGTGCGGGGGAGAGATCTCATTCTGAATCTGTACCAACAGGGGGTAAAGTCAGGTGAGTGAACACCTTCTCTGGGGGGCACGCCTCCTTTAACCACGACGCCCTCACATGCCCGCTCCAGGCACACAGACCGGTCCCCTCCTCACGGCAGGACTAGTGGAGATGAGTGATGCTGATGGCTGCAGGGAGGGAGGAGGCGGAGACAGAGGAGGGAGGCCCCGTGGGAGCCGGCCAATGAGGTTGGAGGCAGAGCCCTCCGGGCCAGGAACTAACAGGAAGCGCAGCCTCTGCAGCCTCGGAGGGGCGGGTGGAGGGGGTGGGATTCTAGGTGTGACGAGGCCTCCGCAGTGAGAAGGGCAGAACGGGAGGGCTTGGGCTAAGGCGCGCGGCTCCTGCGGGCGGGTCTGTGCGGGAAGCAGTGTGCGGGGGTGGACAGGCGGCTCTCCTCTGGAAACGGAATCCCAGGACTCGCTGGGCCGGCCCAGAGAAGCGGACTCGAGGTCGGGATCCTTGCTCACACGCGGGCTGTGTGACATGCCAACCACAGAGGCTGCGTGTGCAGGGGCCACCCCCTCGCACCCAGGACAAAGCAGTGGCGATGGAGTTCCTGCTTCCCAACCACCGGATGGGGCCTGGCTGGGGGTCGGAGGGGCCTTCCTTGTTTACTACATGACAAGATGGAAGATAGGGACAGGGGCCTTGCTGCCAGAGCCCTGCCCACCAGCTGCCCGGCGCGCACCACACATTAAGAAATGGGCAGGAGGTGGCCACCGGACGGCTGCCCAAGGATGCTTCCTCTCTGGCATGGCTGGCCTGGCAAGGGACAAGTGGCAGGTCACACACATGCTGTGGGGAGTGGTGGAGGACTAGGACTTGCACCCCCAGACCCAGGATTTTGATGGACGGGGTAGTGCAGGCAGAGCCCCAACTGCAGCCTTGGCCCCGCCCATGCCGAGGCCTCGCCCCACGCAGGCTGTGCTGGGCACATTTTATTTCTTAACGGAATTCTCCAAAGGTGGTCTCTTTATGGAAGAAACTGAAGCAGCAGGCAGCGGACCTACATGCACACCCACTGACCCTCTGCCTGGCCGATAGCCAGCGCGGACGCCAGATGAACGCGCCTCAGGGCGGGGCTCCTGCACAATCCGCACAGGGTGACAGCGGGTGCCCGGGCCTGGAGGAGGGTGACTGCTGACCTCAGACACCAGGACAGGGTCCTGCCTTGTGGGGACAGTAGATGCAGATAAACGTCTTAGGTGGACAGGACAGGACAGGACGCAGTATGTCCATCCTTTCCCTCGGAGAGGCCATTTCACCTCCACAGACTGGAAAGGGCCGCGCTGAGGGGCCGCTGGTTTCGTTTGTGCAGACAGGCACAGTGGCACCAACCTCAGGGGAGAACCAGGCTCCTGCCCTGATCCCCCTGCCCCTCCGGTGGGGTGGGCTGTCAGCTGGCAGGGCCAGGAGTAGATGGAGCGGAAAGACATGGTGAACAAAACAACTCCCAAGAAGAGGCCAGCACCCCGACTTCCCCTTTTTCTTACACACGAAGTGGGATCCCACGGCTAAAACCATCGGCCCAAACGGCAAATGCACCAGTCTCCCAGGGCACCCCCAGGAATGGCCACCGTGGCCCCAAGCGAAGGCAGCGCTGCCTGCCTGGCTGGAGGGGAGCACAGGATGTGGCGGGGGACACGAAGGGCTGACAGAAACTCCCGGAAGAGCCGAGGGCTGCCCAGCGGGAAAGGACGGCGGCCAGTGGCCGCTACTGACGACGACCATGGGTCCACTCGCTCGACAGCTTCCTGTCCTGTCCCCGCCCCGGGGCAGGAGCCCGCCACACTCCGCACTGAAGTCCGTTTCCCCAGGTCACTGTTAGGTGGTCCAGACGAAGGCAGAGCCGCTGTAGGCAGCGAAGGGACCACCCCAAGGGGCCAGCCCAGCACCCCTGCTCGGGTCTCAGACCCCGGAGTAAAGACAGGGCCCCCCCTTTCGGGAGAGGAGTCCCGCTAGGAACACCTCAGACAACGGCCTCACCCCCGTCCTGCCTGGCGAGTGCCCCAGTGATGTTCTGGCTTCCTTTCTTCTCTTTCCCGTCTGTTCCTCCCGCCCCGGGGACATGCCGCTTCCAGGACCGCGAGCCTGGGTGATCTGCTCGCAGACTCGGCCGCCAGCCCTGACCACAGCCCGCAGACACGCTCACAGAGCACAACCCAACCTCCTGAGATTTCCAGGGTAAAGCTACATCAATGCTGAAGTCTACTAAATCTTTGAGGGGATTTTCCTTCCCTCTGTAAAAATCAATCCTTCATAGTACCAGGAAAAAGACTTCAAATAACAAAACTTGGGGAATTTTTTGTTTTCCAAAGGAAAACCACCGCAAGCTTCACAGATAATGACATCTGGCTAGAAGCCTTGCTGAGCCAGGAGCGAGGGCCTCGCCCCACCCGAGGCTGTCCTGCCCCACCCGAGGCTGACCTGCCCCACCCGAGGCTGTCTTGCCAGGCTGCTGCCTCTGCCCCCGGAGCACACGCCAGGCCTGATTTCAGAACAGTCACTCCAACGCCTAAGCAGCACACGGCAAACACTTTCTCCACCTGGTGCTGGCAGTTCCCGATCACCGATCACCGATCACGTGCTGCAGCCTGGCCGAGGAGCAGGGCAGAGGCCGCCACCCACCGGGAGTGGCAGGGGCGGCGCCCGACTCACCTGTGCTTGCTGTACTTTCCATTCCCACGACACATGCCCCCCTCACCCCCGCTCCGACTGCTCTGTGCTGAGGCTGCCTTTCGCTGTCTTGTTCTGCAAGGCGGGGAGAGGGCATGGGAGGGGAGGCTGGTGCGGGCGAAGCCGAGGACACAGGCAGGAGGGACAGGGAGGAGCGTGGGGTCAGGGTGGCGGAGGGAGGAAAGGAACAGCACATGGAAAGGAAAGAAAAAGTCGAGTCAGTATTGAGTGACGACCAGGAGCACTCAGACAGGGTGTTCAGAGGCAAAACGTGCCCATTAAAAAAAGGAAGTTTAAAAAACAAAAACATGCAGATTAAGTAAAACTAGATTACTGTAGATCCTACGGTCCATCTCTGGAAATAATTCCAAAGAGAAGCCTCAGTGGGCACCTTCAGGAGCGCTCTGAGGGCGGACCTGTCAAGGGTAACCTCTTTCTAGTACTTTCTGGCCCTCTTTGGACACTGAAGGCCGGTGACCACCAGGGGTCAGTGTGAGCTCGGCCAGAGGAGAGCAGCAGGCGCTGCAGAAGCTGCAAGGTGGTGTGTCCCCCTTCAGGCTGCCTGGCTCCTCCTGTCCTCGCCTCCTCTCCACACACACACACACACACACACACACACACACACGTGCACGCGCGCGCCCTCTCAGACACAGACCAGCGTCCTGTCTTCCATCTTGTCCTAAAAGAGGGGAGATACCTCTTTTTAAAAAAAAAAAAAAAAAAAAAAAAAAAAAAATTTTTTTATTATTATTTTTAAACCCCACCGAGGATACTTTTTCCATTGAATTTTAGACAGTGGAAGGGAGAGGGAGAGACAGAGAAACACCGATGTAAGAGACAGACATCGACTGGTTGCCTCCCGCGTGCCCCAGCAGGGCCAGGAGCCTGCAACCGAGGTATGTGGCCTCGACTGGAATTGAACCCGGGACCCTTCAGCTGCAGGCCAACGCTCTGTCCAGTGAGCCACACCAGCCAGGGCCCAGAGACACCTCTTGAGCCAAGTGGGAAACAGGGAGCAGCAGCAACTGCCAACTGCGGACGCCGGTTGCTTCTGCTGAAGTAAAACCTGGGAAATGCTGAGTGTCCCCCAAATCCCGGAGGCAGCTGTTTCCCTGGCTGGGAAAACGCCTTTGCTTATGTATCAAGGCCTACAACAACCTCACCTCACACGACCTGTGAACTGGGGCTCCATTAAACTAACGTGGGAATCAGTAGTTTCATTGAGTTTGATTTTCTAATTTCTTGTAACAAACAAGATTCTCTCCAACACACTTCTCCACACGGCGCCGACCCCACACCGCAGGTCCGCCAGGGCCAGGCGCAGGCAGGCTGCGTCCTGCCACGTCTGCAGGCATTTCAGGAGGAGCCCCCACCACCCTGCCAGGAGCGGGCACTGGGGGCTGGGACTCACCTTGTGCTTGGGGCACCTCACCGAGAAGTTCTCCTCATGTAGCAAACAATCTGCAAGACAGAAGGGACAGTCAACTAGGGCTGGCGAGTAGCACAGGTGACTGACAGGCCGGACTGACAGGGCTGGACGTGGCGATAAGAGGTCCCCGCGCTATGATTCCCAAGAGGAAAACATTAGAGACACCCCAAGTAAATATGGTGCCTCAACATGAAGTATCACTTAAAAATTAACATGTCGAAATAGTTAACGGTATATGAGAAATACTCATGATGTAAAATCACTTGAAAAACCAGGATATATAAATGTGTGAGTACAATCCTAATTGTATCAAAATATTTATATACATTACAAAAGGACAAAGGAAATCTACTGAATTATAACAGTGGTACTTCTATGGTTAGTAAAATTATAAGTGATTTAATTTTTTCCGTAATTCCATCATGTTACATTGTTTTAATCATCAGAAACAATCGCTAATAAATGTTGTTTTTAACCCTCCCGATTCTAGGCGAAGCCCGCCCGCAGGCCCAGCCATGGCTCCGGGAGGAAACACTGTGTCTCCAGCACCGTTTCCCCGGCCGAGCCTCCCGTCAGAGACAGGAGGGAGGCCAGGCCCGAGAGCCGCTGCCCCTTCACCCCACGGCCCACGGAGACGGGGAAGCCCCCACACGAGCTGCCTAACCCACGCTAAACGCTTCAGAGGCGAGAAACCCCGTGAGGGATATTAATCCTCGGAGGAAAATGATTCATTCCAACTTCTAACACGGAGACAGCATCCTCGATGACAGCCTGCAGGTGAGTAGAGCTCTCCGCGCCAGGGCAGTGCGAGGCGTGGGCGAGGAAATCTCATTAATGAGTCCACGCTGCACACCGAGCTCCCAGAGACCGACAGCCAGGTCACTGGTGCAAGATGTGGTGGCAGAATGCTAATAAATATTGATCGCACAGTCTCAGATTGCTCCCAGGCACCGTGGCGGGAGGCAGCCACGGTACTTAGCCTTCTTAAATTTACAATTTAACTCAGGCTTAAACGGAGGTCCAGATTAGCAGCCTGAGTACCCACAGTTTGCAAGTAAAAGGTAAAAAAGCAAGGAAACATATCAATGAAAAAATTTGAGGTCCTCTTATTCTACACAAATAAAAAAGGCCCTTTCATAATTTGACTTAGGCCTACTGCCCTCTGAGTCCTGGTGTGTCTATGAGGCAAACCCCGGGGCCAGAGCTCAGAAAGTCTGCGCCCCTCCCCCGCAAGCATGGCGCAAGGCAGTAAATGGAGTGCGTTCATTCAGAACCCACAGTACATGGCGTGGCCAGGCTCCCGCTGCGCTTCCGAGCAGCAAGGGGCAGACTGGCACTCAGAGGCTCTCTCCTTCCCTGGGCGCTGGCCAAGGAGACACAGCCGAGCCCACGTGGGGCGGCCACCTGAGGCCGCGGCGGCTCTCAGAGAGGATGAGGTGCCTCAGTTCCCCTTGCAGCCGTGAACAGCTGGCACGGACCATTAGTAAAATACGGCTAGAGTTAGGAAACATGTTCCCTTTAAGTTAAAAAGTAGAAAAGAAATAAAACAATAGAAGTACACACTAAGCAGCTTGGAGCCAACACCAGGGATCTGTGGAAACAGAAGTGTCCTAAACACATCTGTCGGAGACAGCGTCCGCCTCTGGCAAGGCCTCCCAAGCAGGAAGCCAACGGACAGATGCTCTGTCTGTTCTCATACCCGCCGGCCATCAGGAAGGGCAAGATCCTGCTGGAGAGCTGACACCCGGAAGGGCACGGGGGCCTGTCCCTGCTCAAGGAAGAGCCAAGGGCAGTAAAGTTCTTCTGAGGTCTCTGAGAGGCGCCTGGCCCTGCGGCTGGCCAACCGGTCTCTCAGTTTGTTTCCTTGAGGCCCCTGGCAAAGTCCCACACTGACGGGGCGGAGGGCCTGTCAGCACTTCCAGGGAAGCAGAGAGGCTCGCTGAGCATCACTCGGGCTGGAAGACTCACAAGGTTGTCTGGTCAACCAGCTGGCTTCCAGACACGCAAATCTCAACGGCCCAGAAGGGTGAGCTCACTCTCTCCTGGAGCTTAGATGCAGGGCGGACTGTGGCGCTCCTCCTACCAGCATGTGGATACCCACACGCACGTGGACAGAACCCAGGCTGAGGATGGGGGGGCTCAAGGAGCGAGGTCTAATGAATACGCTCTGATCTGCCAGGCCCCACCCGGTCTCCAGCTCATGTACAACTGACCTCCGAGGCACAGTTAGCACTTTATCTTGACAGAATCCAGGCTGGGCCCGCCAGCCTACACTGCCTCAGTGAGGGGAACAGGCAGGAGCCAGGGAGGGACCAGACACGAGTCATTCTAATGACCCACCCAGGGCTGAACCCTGCCTGCAAGATCCGAGTCTGCAACAGAGAGCCGTGACAGGCGGCTGCAGAGAGTGAACTGTGAGGGTGGGAGGGTGAGAGGAGTCCCTCCAGGCAAGATTCTCTGTGCACAGCAGAATCGCTCCTGAGCCAGCACAGCGCTTTTCCTTTGGTCTTAATTGTTGTGGCTCAGTGCATTACTAGCACTCATGTTCTCATTACTGCATTTCCCACCTGGAGCCAAATCTGGTGCCTGTGACATAACAAACCACACCAAACAGCTAACCATGATGTCACAAACGTGCATGCGTGTGGGAGCTGCAGGAGCCACAGAGCTGTTTCTACGGAGATGTCCCCAGTAATCAAAGTTTCCCCGAGACACCAGCAGCTCTGAAAGGGTTGGGAGGTGGGCAGCAAGGCAGAGGTGAAAATGGCCAATGTTTCCTCACTCCATGAGACATGGGACTTACTTTCATTATAATTGGCAAGAAGGTCAATTGGTGACTGCCTTTCTGGGATGCAAAGGTCCTTCATACACAAGAGAATTCCTGCAGACCCAGAGGGACAAACACAAGTACCTGCCTCCCAGGGCGGCACAGGCCTCTGGGTCACTGTGACTCGAGTCATCAAAAGACCCAGAAATGCCCAAGACACAGTGACCTTGTGAAGCTGCCGCAGCCTCCGTCACCCCGTCAGCCACGCCTCCACCCTCTCCCTGCCAAATCCTCACCAGACCCGCCTCTGAGAGACACAGCTGCTCCCATGGAAGCCACGTTCCCCTCAGAACCTAGGAAGACTCGAGAGGTAACAGGCACCACGCCGCCTGCTGCACTGCTCGTCTCTCCATTTTCTCTCCCTCCCTGACCTGCAAGCACTGGCTGAGGGCCAGCTGGGTGAAGGTGAAGGTGACGGTCTCATGCTCACAAAGTAACCGGTGAAAACACCCACTGAGGAGACGCGGGTTTAGAGGAGAAAGATCCCCCAGTTCTGATGCTGATCAGAACTCAAGCCTTCCGCGTTCATCACTGGACGGCACTTCTTGGACAAAAGGTTTTTCTTCCTTCAGTCATCACACGGCCAACACTGCTCCCATCTCAGCGGACCTGGAACCCTTTCATGGTAAACACTCCACAACTAGGAACACAGGGAGCTTCCTTAGCTGCCCAAGAACATCTAAAACAGCCCCCAGCTGCCACACTAGTTAGTGGGTCAGAGACGACACAAGGACGTCAGCTTGGCCACTTGTATCCAACATTACACTAGAAGTGCTAGGCAGGGCAATCAGGCAAGAAAAGGAAGGCATCTGATTAGAAAGGAAGAATTAAACTTGTTGCAGATGATATGTAACTAAAAACTTTAAATCAATGAGCTGAGCAAAGATGCAGGATATAAGATCAATATAACAAAATCAGCTGTATTTCTATATACTCACAATGAAAAATCTGAAATTTAAAAGTCCAATTACAGTACCACCAAAAACTTAAAAAATACTTAAGAATAAATTTAACCTAAGAATGAAAAACATACCCCGAAAACTACAACACATCATTAGAAGAAATTAAAAACTGAAATAAATGGAAAGACATCCATGGATGGGTTGGAAGACAGACTATTGTTACGATGGAAATACTCCCTTATTGATCTGCAGGTTAATGCAAGTCCTATAAAAGTTTCAATGGCTATTTTTTACAGAAATCTACAAGCTGATCTTAACATTCATATGGAACAGCAAAGGACCCAGAATAGCCAAAACAATCTTAAATAAAAGGAACAAAGTCAGAGGGCTCACACTTCCCACTTTCAAAATGTATTACGAAGCTACAGTGATCAAGACGGGGTGTACTGGAGGAGTCCAGAAATAAGCACATATTTGTATGATCAACTGGCGTTCTTTGTTTCTTTTAAAATATATTTGTATTGATTTCAGAGACAAAGGGAGAGGGAGAGAGAGAGAGAAACATCATTGACCTGCTGCCTCCTGCATGCCCCACACTGGGGAAATCAAGCCCACAACCCAGGCATGTGCCCCGATCGGGAATGGAACTGTGACTTCCTGGCTCATAGTCCGACACTCAACAACTGAGCCATGCCAGCCAGGCCGGTCAGTTGGTTTGCCACCAAGGTGCCAGGATCGCTGAATGAGGAAAGATTAGTCTCTTCTACAAGACGCTGGGGTAACGAATCCACATGCAAAAAGCTGAGCTGGACTCTGCTTCATCCACGGATACATGAACTCGAGCCGGGTCAAGGACCCGTGTAAGGGCTGAACTTATCAAACCTGCAGGACAAGACATAGGCATACACCTTTGATTCTGGATTACGCAATGGTTTCTTAGATGTGAGAAAAAGCAACAAGTAACAAAAGAAAAAATAGATAAATTGGACTTCACCAAAGATGCTTAACATCATTAGTCACCAGGGAAATGCAAATCAAAATCACAATGAGCTACAGCTTCAAATTCACTGGGATGGCCATAAGAAGAAGACAAACAAACCCTGGTCAGGGTGGCTCAGTTGGGCATTGTCACCGGTTCAATTCCTGATCAGAGCACATGCCTGAGTTTTGGGCTTGATCCTCAGTAGGGGGCATGCAGGAGGCAGCAGGTTGATGTTTCTCTCTCTCTCTCTCTCTCTCTCTCTCTCTCTCTCTCTCAAAATCAGTAAACTATTCTTAAAAAAATATAACAAGTGTTGATGAGGACATGGAGAAACTAGAACCCTCACATACTGCTGGAGGGAATGTAAAATGGTGCAGCCATTTTGAAAAACAGTCTGGCAGGTCTTCAAAAGGTTAAACATAGAGCTACTATTTATCCAGTAATTCCACTCCAGGTTTACGCCCCAGAGAACAAAACATTAAGTCTGCATGGAGACCTGTATGTGAATGTTCACAGCAGCAGCATTTGTAATAATAAAAAGGTGGAAACAACCTAAATGTGCATCAAATGATTAATGGTAAGTAAATAAAAAGATACCTCCTTATAATAAAATATTATTTGGCAATAAAAATGAAGTACTGATACATGCTACAACATGGGTGAACCTGAAAAACATTATACTAAATAAAAGAAGCCAGGCACAAAGACCACATATCTGTCTGATCCCACTGATATGAAATGGCCAGAACAGGTGCGTCCATGGAGACAGAAAGCAGATCAGTCGTTGCTCAGGGCGGGAGTTGTTGGCTAAAGGATGCAGGGCTGCTTTTTGAGGTGACGAATGTACTAAAACTGACTGTGGTGATGGTTGCATATCTGTGAATATACTAAAAACCACTGAATTGCACCCTTAGGTGAATTACGTGTGAATTATACGAATAAAACTGCTTTTAAAAAAAACTATCCCATTTCACTCCTTTTTATTCTCCTCACTGCATTTCCTTTAGAATTTACTAACAAAACAGGGTCAAAAAAGACAAAGAACGACAACAAAGGGAAAGAAGGCAGAGAAAGTGTACGTCCCACCCTGCGGACGCTCTGGATGCCCATCTTACCTGCGTCAATGGCACACGGGTAATGGTAGCGGAAGGAGCAGCCTTTGTTGTAGCAGCCCAAGGTGGCGCCTGCCTCCTGGCAGTGGGAACATTTCTGAAAGGGAAGGAGTCAGACATGTCAGCACCGCAGGCTCAACCCTCCTCCCCAGGCTGCCCCCAGACCCCACAGGCCAGACATCAGCACATGGCCCTGAGGTGACGGGAGTCTGTGGTGGCAGGACGAGCAGGCCCGTTTCTAACTGCCACTCCCTGCCCACACCTGGAGGAGATCCAACAGTAAGGACCTAGGGCGGGCCTCACAAATAAACAGAACCACAGAGTGGCGAGGGTGGGTGTGCGGCCGGCCTCTGTTACCCCGCAGTCCATCCAGCCACATGCTCTCCTGAACTGTGTGAAGCTCTTGTGTGTTATTTCTGCTGTGAACGTCTTGGGTAGATGGAGAGGGTAAGATAGTAGAGTTATATATAAACCTTTTAGAATTAAAAGTGGAATTTGGTTTCCAATTCTTATATTTTTAAGATTTTATTTTTATTCTACTTATCCCAAATGCCCAATACAAGTATATTTCCCTTTTCAGAAAATATGGGCTCCTGTGAGCAAACGGTATTTTTACACACAAATCCTATTTTAAATGCACTAGGAAACCGGCCATGAATTTCTGGCCGAGTGAGACATTATTCTGTAATTGAGATCTCCTCCTTAAATGGTCAGGTTTTCTTAAAGTGGGGCACTTCTCCATCATCCCTCTGAAGTGGCTACAGCGAGCTTTCACTCCTGTCGGCACAAGGAATGTGTCCCATCATCAATAATCATAGCTATAAAGTCAACCACATCAGCCCCCTGAGGAAGGACGCAGGCTTCTGGTGGCCATGGCACACCCAGGTAAGGCTACCGGGAAAATACGGCACTTGTTCCTGATTCTAGGAAAAACAGAATAAAAGTGACCGTAAGCCAGTGGTTCTCAACCTTCCTAACGCCGCGACCCTTTAATACAGTTCCTCACGTTGTGGTGACCTCCAATTTCATTGTTACAAATTGAACATAATTAAAGCATAGTGATTAATCACAAAAACAATATGTAATTATATATGTGTTTTCCAATGGTCTTAGGCGACCCCTGTGAAAGGGTCGTTCGACCCCCAAAGGGGTCACGACCCGCAGGTTGAGAACCACTGCACTAAGCAGTTACACTTTCAGAAAAGAAAGGCTCCCCACACACCCATACCCTCCCCAGGAAAGTGACTGAAGGGCAGCCCGTCCCGCAGCCTGCAGCAGTAAGGTCAACAGGGAGCTGGAGAAAGCTCCCCCAATGCTGACGCTGAAGGTAAAATCACACTGACGCAGCCCAGCCCCAGTGTTCACCATACACCAGGCGCTGTACACGACTGATGTGGACCAACTCATCCAGTTTTCATAACTACCCTGGAACCCCCTCAGGCTACAGATGAGGAGCTTGAAGCACCAGAAGGGGAAGTAACCTGCTCCCTGTCACAGGTGGTCTGGGCTGACCCCTGGACTCCTCCAGAGACAAGGGGGCAGGAATAAGGCTTTAAGACAAGTCCTTCCAGAGCCTCACTTCCTCTCGGAAGCAAACATCCTTCTGGGTGCACATGGCCTCCCGCCCTTGCTAAGAAATAAAAGATGACTTGGCCTGGAGTAAACCAAGGACAGCTGGCAGCACTTTGGACAGCCCTAGACTTCATCTCCTTTTGGCGGTGCCAGGGGCCCCTTCAGAACAAAAGGACCCACCGTCAACTGGGGGAGGGAGTGTGGCTGATTTGTCGGTGGCCTGCCCACTGCCAGTCCTGCCCTACCCCTTCTGACCGACGGAGCCCGAAGAGCCAGCTACCCAGAGGACTTGTGCTCCAGGCCCTGCCCACCCTAGCGGTGACTCTCAAATAGCGGTGGCCATTAGGAATGGGTGTGGCAAGCATTTCTGGTAGGCAAGTCTGCAGGGAAAGGAGCTTTCCTCATGAGGGGGCAGTTCTAAATACATTGAGGGCAGAAGTGACAAGACGGAGGAACCTGGATTCTTTGACACTAAATGAAACAACCCCAGGACCACCCCATCTCCAGACTTGTTAGGGAAAAGGCTTTTTAAAAAAATCACCTTTTAATTTAATTTTGCAACTTGCAGTCAAAGTGCTCAGGAAATGTGACCTAAGATGACCATGTGCCAGACACACACACTAGATGTTCCCACACAGACCACCTACTAAAAGCAGCCTGCGGAGCAGATCTTGTCATCACCTGAGGCTACAGACAGGAAAGGGAGGTGATCGAGCTCTTATCTGAACAATGTCATTTCCTTCCCACCTCCACACATGCCCCTCAGTCCCCTGCAGGGCGTCCAAAGCTCCCTAACCTGGAATAGCCCACAGACCACAGGTCCCATCTTTTTCATAAAGAAAGGAATCTCATTTACATCAATAAAAAGCTTGTTGCTTATTGCAATTAAAAAGTGTAATTTACTACACTGCACCCAGAGAAGAAAGACCCTGCATGGTATATCAGAGCCTAAAGACAGAACCTGAGAGTTTAGTTCAGTCATTCTCAAAGGATGGTCCTTGGACCAGCAGCAGCAGCACCACCTGGGAATTTGTTAGAAATACAAATTTTGGGATTATGGGAAGATGGCAGAGTAGGTAGCTGTCTCCTCACCTGGACACCAACAGCACTGGCAGAAACTGATTAACTATTTTGAAACTCTAGTCTGTTCAGGGGTTGCAACTTCCAGGGGATGACTTGGTCAGTTTCCGTTCTTAGCACAGCAGCAGCTTGCACACAACTTGGGAGCCAGGTTGGGCAAAAGAACCCTGTCCTTCAATATTGGGCAATCTCTTCTCTGGCTGCTGCTCCTGACCACAGAGGTGGAGATAAAGAGGCAGGCCACTATTGTTGTTGCTCCCTCTCCCCAGGGATCTAAAACAGTGACTATTCCCTACCCCCTTCATTTTTTGCTTTCTCCGCTTTTGGGAGCCAGACATTAAAGACTATGACCTTCAAGAAAAAGTACATACACAGAGGAAATTAGAAAGTGACTCTGCATACCAAGGGAAGGGCTCAGGAAAGGCCTGAGAAGATCTTAAGTTTACACCTCAGGCTGATCCTAGGCACAGAGACAACCTGCAACAGCAACAACCACAAAAAGCAAACCCTGGTTTCCAGAGTCACCACATTGTTAGAGACATTCAAATGTCCAGTGTTCAGCGGACACTCACAGGCATTCACAAAAACAGGAATGCACGGCTATGGCCTATTCAAAGAAAAAAAATAAATCGACAGAAACTGTCCCTAAAAAAGACAATGGTGGATACACTAGACAAAGACTTTAAAAGAACTGCCTTAAAGATGCTCAATAAATAACAAAAGATGTGGGGAAAGTAAAAAACAAACAAACAAAAACAGTGTGTGAACTAAGTACATTAAAAAAAGAGAGAGAAAACCTTACATGAACGACTATAAAAACATCCAAGAAGCTCAAAGACTCCAAAATAAGATGAATTAAAAAAGATCCACACTAAGACACATAATCAAACTTGAAAAAGCCAAAAAAGAGAGAATCCTGACAGAAGTGAATTGTCATAAGTGGTTCTTGGTAAGATTTGCTGCAGCTCTTTCTTTCTTTCTTTTTTTTAAAATATATTTTATTGAGTTTTTACAGAGAGGAAAGGAGAGAGATAGAGAGTTAGAAACATCGATGAGAGAGAAACATCGACCAGCTGCCTCCTGCACACTCCCCACTGGGGATGTGCCCGCAACCAAGGTACATGCCCTTGACCGGAATCCAACCTGGGACCTTTCAGTCCTCAGGCCGACGCTCTATCCACTGAGCCAAACCGGTTTCGGCAGCTGCAGCTCTTTCATCAGAAACTTCGAAGGCCAGCAAACAGTCCATCAATATATTCAAAGTGCAATTCCCTCCCCCACCTCCAGCCCCCACCCCCAATCAACCAAGAATCCTTATCTGGCAAAAACTGTCCTTTAAGTGTGAGGAAGAGATTACGATATTTCCAAATAAACAAGAGCTGAGGGAGTTTGTGATCACTAGACCTACCCAGCAAGCAATGCTCAAGGGAATCCTGCCGGTGAAATGAAAGGGCACCAGAGGTCTATCAACGCCGAATGGAGAAATGAAGATCTTAACCAAGGCAAACACACGGGCTATTACAGAAGCCAGTATTCTAACAGCAGTCTGTAACTAGTTTTTTGTTTTCTACATGATGTAAGAGACTAATACAGTTAATACACTTAAAATTATTAGTTTATGTTTTGGGGCCTATATGTCTAAAAATGCAATTGTGTGTCGTCAATAACCAGAGATCGGAGCTGTAAAGGAGTAGAGGTTTTGTATGCTATTGAAGTCACATCAATGTATGAAGAAAGTAACCACATAATCATGCTCAATCGATGCAGAAAAAGCAGATGACAAAATCCAACACACTTGATGATAAAAACACACATTCCATGTTCCTGGACTGGAAGACTTAATATTATTAAACTACCTAACGTGATCTGCAATCTCTATCAAAATCCCAAAGACTTTTTGTGTGCAGAAATAGAAAACTTTACCGTAAAATTTGTACTAAATCTCAAGAGACCATGAATAGCCAAAATAACACTGAAAAAGAACAAAAGAAGAGGACTCATACTTCATTTTAAAACTTTCTATAAAACTACAGTAATAACAGTGTGGCACTGGCAGACATGGAATAGAGTCCAAAAATAAACTCTCAGAGACAATGTCAAATGATTTCTGACAAGGGTGTCAAGATCATTCAATGGGGGAAAGGACAGTGTGTTTTCAACAAATGATGCTGGGAAAAGTGGATATCCACATGCAAAAGACTGAAGTTGGACCCTTCCCTAAAACCACACACAAAAATTAACTCAAAATGGATCAAATACCTAAATATAAGACACAAAACAATAAAACTCTTAGAAGAAAACAGGACAAAAGCTTCATGAAAATAGATTTGGCAAAAATTTTGGGGGTTATGACACCAAAGGCCCATGTAGCAAAAGAAAAAAATAGACAAATATGACTTCATGAAAATTTTAAAAAATTTTGTGCATCAAAACCCATTATTGCCC